CCCACACCGCCCGCTTCCATCTCTCAACCCCTCTGCTGCAATTTATGTACATATTGCATGGGCTCATTATAAAGGAATGCGTATGTGCGCTCAGGTAGACGCTGTCCAAATGTTCGTGCACGAGTATGAACGCGTATGCACAGAAGTGCGCAGGTGTATGCGTGTTTGTGTCCGTGTTTGTGTGTATGCAAGAGAAGCAATACACATGTGTCACTAAACTTATGATGTGTGTATGTATATGTATGTGCGTCTATATGTATGTGTATGTATGTATATATGTAGGTCTGTGTGTACTTATGCGTATATATGTGTATAGGTATATGTGTGTGTATGTATATGTGTATATATGTATATGTATATGGGTATGTTTGTGTATGTATATGTGTATATATGTCTATATATGTATATGTATATGGGTATGTGTGTGTATGAATGTATGTGTATGTATGTGTGTATATGTATGTATACACATAAATGTATGTACGCATACACGTGTGCGTAAGCACATTTTTAGTTATATCTATATGTGTAGGTATAGTCATAAATACGTCTACAAGAAAAGTGCGCATATGTGTGTTCGCATATATGTCGGTGTGCATACACATATGTATGCACATATGATGTGCGCATATGGCATTATATTTGCATACATGTGCATGTGCGTAGTTGTGTATAATGTAGGAGTATGTATGCATACCATATACATAGGAGCATATGTAAAGGTGTATGCTTGTATGTGCATGAAAATGAAAATGAATATATGCGTAGTACTTAGAGCATTTGTGGGTGAACAACTATGTCTACACTGGGTGTACATGCACATGAATAAAATCAGTGTATAAAATATAATCACATATATGCACTTCTGATACTCAAGCCCATACTCACGGGAGTATACCCTGGTGTAGTGAGCAGGTCCGTACGTTGCTGTTTGTAAGTCCACACTAGATAGGGCCAACCCTGCTGGAAGTGCTTATCACTGGCATTATGACTAAACTACCCTCCCCCCACCAAGATCCACCTCTCAATCAAAAATCATGACTGCACAGACAGAGCAACGGCCCTCATTCCCCAGAGGCGAAGGAGCCCCTGGTTACAGCGGCGATCATGATCGCTCATGAGCAACGGCTGTTAAAAATCTCCGGTTAAAAACAGACCGCCCCACGTTGATGAACCTTTTCACATATAATATTAATGTAAGGACAATAAGAACTGAATCCGACTTACTAGCATTACTTGAAGAACTCTATTTCATTAAAATGGATGTTGTATGACTCTGTGAAGTTAGAAGATTAGGCGAAGAAAAGAAGATACTAAATGATGGACACGTCCTCTTTTGGAGAGGTAAACACCAGGGTAGCAAGCAGGAATTGGGGGTAGGTTTCTTAGTTCACTTTAGAAAATAATATCATGGAATTCTATAGCATACTGAGTGGCTTCAGTAACAATAAAGCTAAACAATAGTTACAACTTAAAGATTGTTCACGTCTATTCTCCAACTTGCAGCCACAGTGATGAAGAAAAAGAGAGCTCCTATGAAGATGTTCATTTAGCCATCTATAGAGTAAAAAATTCATTTCACAATAATTATAGGAGATTTTAATGTTAAAATAGGTCAAAAGACAGGGGAATCACAGAATAGGCACTAGGAATGAGAAGGTATAAATGATAGTCGATTTTGCGGAGGATCGATCACTCAGTATCATGTATACAGAATCTAACCTTAAGATTCAAAACAGATATTCACTTCTCAGTGACTAAGATCTCAGCATTGACCAAATCAACAAACAGTTCAATGATTTAATAAAGGAAGCTGCACTTGAAGCAGGCGATAAGAACTTCAAGCAAATTTCCAGCAAGCTCTTGGTAGAAACTATTCAGCTTATGCAATAACGTAGGGTCATGAAGTACTGTCAAACAGGGACAAGATAGAATGAGCTGAACTAAGACAATAAATAAAGAGAAGAGAGAAATTCAGTGGTCAAATAATAAATGAAACAGTGATCTCAGGTGCCACCATGAAAACAGCAACAAAAAACGCAAGACAGACAAAGATTGAAAAGATTGGGAAAGGCCTGCGTCCTGCAGTGGATTGATTCAGGCTGATGATGAGGATGCCACACACACACACATATATATATATATATATATACATATATATATACATGTACATACACACACCCACACATCCACACACACACACACACACACACACACACACACACACACACACACACACACACACATATATATATATATATATATATATATATATATATATATATATATATATATATATATATGTATATATATATATATATATATATATATATATATATATATATATATATATATACGCACATACACATTTCTACGTATAAATAGGTATATGTATATGCATATATATGTATATAGATATATATATGTCTATATAATATATATATATATATATATATATATATATATATATATATATACATATATATATATATGTGTGTGT